GGGGGGAGAAAAAGAGTTGGGGCACCGGTGTAAATAAATAAACAAATAAATAATAAACAATCACAGCACCCCTCGCTGCACACACAGCAAGGAACCAATCAGGATCCTAGCTGAACGCACTGGAAATTGTGTGTAATGAGTGGGAAAAGATTAGAGGGAGCTCTTGCTAGGCTGTAAATTGACATTAGTAAAAGAAAACTCTTTTACTGGGGATGTGGGGGAGGCACAGTCTGATTTAGACAGCAGCAGAAGGAGGATGGGGTGGGAACAAACACTGAGACCTGGAATGAAATGAGTAAAGACGCAAAGATAATAGCTGAAGTGGTGTGTTGTTGTTGCTGTGTGCTGCTGGAAGAGCGCTACATGCATGCTCTCTGGCATGTAAATAAATAAAGAAAATCCCATTTTAAAATCTACTTGCAATTTGAAATGATTGGAAATTGGATTTACTGAATCTTTAAAATGGTGAATACAGTTGTACATTTTAATATAATGGATGTTGCACAGAAGCCTGTTGAAAGCATCAAAGAGTGAAATGCTTGTCTGTGTTAATGGTAACAACAAAAGCATTGTTTTACAGTTTTCTATGAAATTCTTCAGTTCATAAGGGCAAATGTTGAAACTTTAATTAGTGCTTTCTGTAAATGCCAGAGCAACAACAGAGTAAAAATGGAAATGAAAAAAGAATAATGGGAAGAAATATGTGACTGTGGAGTTTTTAGCACTGTCGTCTGGCAGCAACAGGGGGTCTGAATCCCGGTCTACTGCAGACTTTTTTCATGTTCTCTATTCAACCCAAAAACAAGCATGTCTGATACACTGGCTTTTCTGAACTGTTGTTAAGACTGTGTGCGTGTGCGTGTGTGTGTGTGTGTGTGTGTGTGTGTGTGTGTGTGTGTGAGATTGTTAGTCCTGCATATGTCTGTGTAGCCCTGTCATGGACTGGTGAGCTGTCTAGGTTGAACAATGACCCCTGGCTACAAGCATCAGGACCCCACAATCCTGGATGCATTAACAGCTTTATATAATTGATGGGTGGATAAATGGATACTTCAGAATTAAACACGCTATTAAATCATAAAGGAGGCAGGGGGGTATTATGTAATTTTTGAGTTCATCAAAAACATACATGGAGTATTACTTTGAGTCTTCCATTTATTTGAATCGTTGAATCTTCTGTGGCAGCCATTTGGGGTGCCTAAACACTTGCTCATACAAAGTGCTTCCTAATTCCCCAGAGCACATTCCTGGAGCACCCTGCCCCCGTGCCCCGTCCCCACTATTGAGTCCATGGCAAAAAAGATTCTCATTGCAAACACACAAGCAAGCAATAAATTCATAACACAAGAAAATGTTATGGGGAAACAGTCACAAGTTTGGGCGCGATTGCAAGGCTTCAAATGTCACCACCTTCACCGTCGATACAAGCATGGATGTGTGATTCATAAAAATTGACACACGCTCCGACACTACTTTACATGTTACCTATTGTGCTGATTAAAAATATTGAAGCAGTGTAATTAAACAGTTAGCCACAATCCTAGTTTGACCTAAAATATTTTGTCTTGTTTCTATACCAAACCTGTTAGTTTAAGTACCAGCACTGTGCAGAAAATGAACCCTGAAAACAAACCAGTTCTGTGACTCCAGACCTGAGATTAAATAGGCAACAGATGGAAACAAAAGGAGTCAATAAAATTCTACACATACAAACACACACACACATATATATATATATCTATATATATATATATAGATATATATATATATATATATATATATATATATCTCAGAAATCTGAACCTGTATCTGACCACTGATTTTTCTCTAGTTTTCTAAAGCGCAGCAACAGCTTTCACTAAACACTAGTTAGTGACATGCAGGAGAAAGGGAACGTGTTGACATTGTGACACTTGCCCTCCATTTTTACTGATTGTACCATTTATACCATTGGGATAATAACAGCTGAAACATGGCAATGTTGTTATTATTCCGATAGAATCGAGGAGTAGAGGACAGGTTTGAATGAAATATGAATATCGTCTTATGACTTTTCATGATTTATTCCCCTTTATTCCTTCTTTATTCTCTATATTTCCAAAGTTTGATCTTTCTTTCTCTCCTTTCACTATTGCACTCTCTTCTCTTTCTTTCCACACCCCCAGCCCCCTCTCACCCTTTAACCCCCTCCTCCTTTTTCTTTCTGGTTAATTTAAAATTTGTCAGACGCTTGCGTCTTCTGGATGGTTGGCCTTTGATATTCTGTGAGCTCCATTTGGCACAAACAAGCCTCTGGCCCCGGTGCATCCTGCTGACTGCTGCACTAGTGGCGGGCCCCCGCCATTTATCTTAGCACCGGCCACCCAACGCTTACTCATTACAGGAGCCTCAGCACCAGCTTAACCCCCACCTCTCTGCCAACTGTGTCCATACAAACACACTGAAAACAGCCAAATTATTTGTGTGCACATAAACATAAGCAAATGCATATCAGCAAACACATTCATACCCCATGGATACATGTTGAGGAGCACAGGGAGGCATGCTAGCAAATCCAGAAACATGCACACATTTGGTGATCACTGGCCATGCTCACAGCTCCCACCCATGGATGTAATGAGCACATCTTAGTATGTTTTAAAACCTTCTTTCTGGTTGTCTTTGCTCACATCCTCTACACGCTAAACACACTGCATGTCCTCCTGTTTTGAACCACACTTTTCTGTGTCTTCTATTAAAGTACAGTATGTCTCTGATTTCAGCTTCCTGCTCTATCTGTGTTTTCATTATGATGAGATGAGGAACTGAAAGCAAAGAACTGCAGAATTCAAAACTTGTTCAATGCTTTCTTCTGGATGTTGTTTTACATATATATCCTTTATGATTTATGTAGCCAAATTGTTTTACTGAAGATGTAGCATTATTTCCAGGTCTGGCTCCTGGACGGTACTCATCTCTTACTGTTCCTACTGTTCTTACTGTAGTCTTATATTCATTGAAAATGTTGCTCTTTATCTGATCCATCCTCAGAATCCACATAGAACTGAAACCCCTCCATCATGTTCAGGTGGCAAATCTTCAAAAGGGGCATCAGATAAATAATCACTACATACATAGTTGACTGCAGAACAATGAAGCTGTGAAAATTTCATGTTGAATCAGAGAGAAGGGATAATATTACTTGATTAACATATTACTTTTTTAATATCCAACCAAATGATTCAATTGTATTTCATTTTGATTCCACCATTCTTTCACTATAATTTATTAGAAATATCCATAGCATCTATTCTTCTTTTTCTTAGGTGACCAATATAGTTTTAAGTTCTATGTATGTTATGCTACTCACAAATTAACGGGACTGCAGTAAAATGCAAAACTAACTTTAGCAAGATGTGAAATATATTTAACACCTTTAATGAAGGGCTGGCAGAACTAGTTCAGAACTGGTTCTTTCATCTCCTGCAATAAAATATCAGTAGAGATTAATAGTTTAAAAAATTCTTACCATCCAGATTGTCCTTATTGTCCTGCAACCCACAAAAAAATGTTAAACATTCCTTTTTCCTCTGATTGCTCAGCATTTCTTTAGCTTGTTTGTTACAGAAAATATGTGAGTTTAAATGCATTTCAGTGTCGATGTCTTTTGTCTAGACATTCGTCTCACATCACAACAAAACCCTCAAATCAAATTCATTGTCAAATATTGATTTGTTTCCACTAGTTTCTGGCTCATGTAGATGTCACAAAGAGACACACACACACACACACACACACACACACACACACACACACACACACACACACACAAATGAAACACACACATCTTTTTTATTTTTCTGTTTTTATTGTGCTTCCTTTCAGACAATGGGGCTGGGGGTAATTTTGACAACACAGTGAAGCTTTAAGTCTGGCAGAAAATAGACATTGACCCGTTATCACAGTCCTCTCTGTCAGAAACTGTTGCAGACAAAAATGAGTGTGAACAGCTGGGAGTGCACCAGGTTTCTGTGGTCTAGTGTGAAAAGCTACTTAGTTTTCCATATCAACTGTTGGAAATGGTAAATAATCACAAACTGGAATTGAACAAAGCTTAAACCAGAATTAAGCAACATCTCAAGCTAAAACATAGCTTTGTGTGTTTTGTTTTTGCTTTTCATTTTTATTTATCAATTACATTTTAGCTAAATTTTTGTTTTACTTGTTACTGGGATCTTGTTGGATCTTTCTCAGTTTTGTGTTTTTTATTTTTTTAATTTCAACCCCCTCGTAGTGTTTCCAGCTATCTGGTTATTCTATGTCTAGTTACATTTTAGTGTCTGAGTCTACTCTATACTTTAATGATTTCTAGTTAGGTGTATTTCTATATCTAGCCGTTATGGTTGTTTCTAATTTCTTTGTTCCTCAGTTTGTATTAGATCTGTTCTACGTTTTCTCCTTGTATCTCTTCATCATGTTTCTTTCATCCAAGTTGTTATTTTCTAGTGTTTGTGTTATTTATTTATCCTGCATGTTTTAGTTTCCTCCCTTGTGGTAGTAACAACCTTTTCAGCAGGCCAATGTTCTTCTTAGGTCATCATTGGATCCAGGTGCGTTAAACCAGGGAGAGAACTAAAACATGCAGGATGCCGGCCCTCCAGGACCCACATTGGGCACCACTGATCTAGGTCTTAAGCTGAAGTACAGCACTACTCTTACTTAAGTACAATTTTTGGGTACTCTACCCACCTGTGGTGTGCCAGTTAAAAAAACTGATCAACTAATCCTACAGAATATTTAGGTTGACACCAGGTACCCCAACAAGCATGTCAGGACTTTAGAAAGCAGTTTTTAGTCAAATATTGGAATCAAGTAATGGAAGGTATGTTACCTTCACCCAGCAAAGAGAAAAAAACAACAACTTTCCTTCATTTCTTTTGAAAATCATTTTTATTTAACCCCTTAACTGTCAACATCAAAACAATTACATGTTCTCCAATGTTTGCATGAGGACACCAGTGTCCTCATAATGGTGAAATGGGTTTTAACATATCAGTTTGAGGAAGCAATACAGTTGCCAATAGGCTGTTCCCCATATCAGTTTATGGGCAGATATTTTAGCTAGCTTAACCTGGAGTTCCCCTTTTAATATCCGTTGATAGACACGTTTCCAGAAGGGATGGGTGTCTATTAAAGTGATTCATGTCCCGTCGTACCATGAAGCGTCCCCGAACCTCCTGCCCTGGTGACATTCAAAAATGACAGCACAGACTCAGGTACACAGACAAAAGTTCATGTGTGTGTGCAAACAACCCCTTAAACATAACACACACACTCACACACCCACACACACATAAAACTAAGATTCCCTCAGCCCCCCCCCATCAGACAAGTGAAGCCTTTTAATTATCTGCTGATTACCTGTTAGATCACCTTAGCTAATGGAGAGCAGCTCCCCAGGGAGCCATCCAATCCAACTCTCATCTCACACAATGGGCTCCTCTTCACTGGAGAGAGTAGACTCGATGTGTGTGAGCGTGTGTGAGTGTATGTGTGAGTGAGAGAGAAAGAGAGGGAGATAGACAAAGAGTCCCTTTGAGGCAGATGCTGAGATTAGTACTGAAAATAGTCGTCTATTTATTCTTTCATACACTAGATTACCATCACACCCTGCTCCACATGCAGACACAAACTCACCTCTATGGAGTCGGGTTTTTGAAGCAGACGAAGCTGACAGCCAGCAGTCCAGACTTTTCACTTAAAACATGTTGCCGTCACTTGATATGTGTTTTTTCTATAATTACTCATGAATACATTGCTTTGCACGTTTCTCTAGTATTCTCTAGTCAATAAAATTCAAAACTGCTACAACTCTAAACAAATGTACCAAACTCTACCAAGCCAAACTTTAGAAAAAAGGATAAAACTCAAAATAGAAACTTTTGGACATAAACAAAAAATCTCAACTGAATATCATTTTCATTCACTCACTCATAACAATGGCTGTTATTTAGTCACCAGACAAACTGTTCAGTGAATGTGTATTTATTTAAAGGGGACATTGCATATTGACAATTGGTGTTTCAGTCTATGATGTAAATGTGCCATATTTAACAACAGAGGCTCATTTTCATTTGCAGGTTTTGTGGCATAGAGCAAAACATTCAGTTAGTTGATTGGCAAACTAGAAAATACAGAAAATCAAAAACACATTGCCCATGTACCACAATCATTTATCTACATATGATCACACATTTATAATTATTAATTACCAACCTCTCTTTAATGGATTAAGGAAACTGCTTAAATTGTAATGTTCCTCAATTGTTAATACAGTGTTCTGAGTGTCAGGGGATGTTTATTAGATACTTGTGGAGAGTTTGGTTAATAAAGTCATTTAATGGAGGAGCAGACAGACCACACAAATATATTATACACCTTTAAAATATCAAATAATTTAATCCTGTTTTAAGATTATACTTATACTTAGCTAAAACTCTGCAACAATGCTATGAAGGTTTTTGTAATCTAATAGTTTTAAAGCTTGTTTATTCAGTCTTCTATTGATTGTAATGTAGTCCTTCCTGCTTGTGTCCAACTGGTTATACAGTTATTCATAACTTTTAGTTTTCCATCCTGACTCTTTGAGTTGTCCATCCAATCAGCCAAGGTCCATCAGCACTTCTCTCTACCTCACTGTCACCATTTTTCTTTAGTCTAGCTGTATTTTTTAGTTCCACGAATAGATTTCCCATCTCCTAAGTCAAGTTATTTCAGTTAAGTTATATCAGTGCGCTACGATACCAGTCGGCTTTGGTATGCAAGTCTTTTATAAGATTTTATTTTATTTTGTATATTATCATGTCTTGTGGACCATGAGTCTGTTTCAATCAATCAATCAATCAATCAATCAATCAATCAATCAATCAATCAATCAATCAATCAATCAATCAGTCAGTAAGTCAGTCAAACAGTGACTAGACACATTTCTTTGCCATTTACACATGTATTATACCCAACAATTCTAAAACAAACTTTTAGAATTGAATCAATATAATTGGTTTATTGAAACATTACAAACATTTAGCAAACATTTCATTTGGGTACATTTTACTCCATGTTGTCTGTGTAGAAAGAAGCTCATTTTAACAGAATAAAAGAAATTTGAATACATTACTTAAATTTCAATGATTTGTATTTCACTTTCTCAAATATGATCATTTTATTCATGTGACTTTAAAGAAATAAAAATGTGTAAATTGACATTTGGCGTGGAATAAAAACAATGTTATCTTTTGATGATTTCATCATTTTTTGCAACATAAGGAAGTGATTTGTTTTTTAATGGATGGATATACTGTATTCATCCCAGGAAAAAATTTACAGTCTACTTTATCCGCTTAAGCTTCAAGTGTATTTAAAAAAATCACCATCTCTAGAATCAAAATAAAATAGTTTTTTCTTGTTTTGTTGGGTTCTAATCGTTATACTAAATATCTGTCAACAATTACATTTTTGAATGTGTTTTATTATTATTATTAGAGATGTGCCGATTAGGTTTTTTTCTGCCGATACCGATACCGATCACATAATTATTATTTATTTATTTTTTGTCATAAACATTACATTTCATTATGTGGAAAAAGGAACCATGAATTCACCTTAATTTAGACAAAAACTTATTTTTAATAACTTTTT